GTTGCATAAAAAATATTTTTCTAAAAAATATTTTTTACTCTCTAATCAAGCAATAGAAAATATTTTTCGGAAAATATTTTCCACTCACCAACCAAACAAGGGAAAATAAGTGATAAAATCACTCATTTTCCATGAAAACATTTTCTAGGTCCTTCATACCAAACACACCCAGAGTTTTGGATAAAATTGGTTTGTTAAGGCAAGGCGTTGTTTTCCTATTAGACTTTCGTTGCTACTTGCTACCTTGGTACAAGCAAAATGACAAGATACAATGAGTCTCTTACAGTGTGGCGACGTGTGTATAATTAGTAGGGTGTGTGTTTGAATGTAGATTGATATTTGTTTGCTTAAAAGTTATCATATACCTTATGAGTGTAAACAATATAAATAAATCACGGGAAAATCATAGCAAACCGTAATAATCCATTAGACCAAATGAAAGATGCGCAAATAAGTACTCAACGTTAGGAAGAGAGACATTAAAAGCTTTTATTGATAGTATTGCTGTGGTCTGCCTCTCCATGAAGAGGTTCAGAGCCTTACAATGATGTTCCACTTTCCCATAATATGTGTATCGTTATATCTTTCTCTCTCTCTCTTGAATAGTAAAAAAGAAGAAGCCCCCCCTTTTCTAGGGTTTCCTCTCATGGTATTTATAGCTGTGAGCTTCGTGAGCTGGCAATAAGTGGCCGTGACCACGTTGGAGTTTCGCCTTCATGATGACGGACGGGCCGTGGCATTGGTGATCGAATCAGATAAGGGTTGAATACCGCTAATTCTGAGTGGTCGTACCACTAATCAATCACGAATTAGCTTAAGACGGGATTAACTCCGTTAATTATCGTGGGGTCGGATTCTGACCCATACAGTAGGTCCCTCCGCTTATTGAGGTCGTGCCTTGGCCGAGCTCGATGAGTGGATTTCATCGACTGTAGTTTGAGAAACTCGGATAGGGAGGTCGACTGTCGCTTCGGTCGAGGCCGAATTCTCTTTGGCGATGGCCCTTAGCCTTGTAGAGTGTCAGTGTTTTGTTATTGTGTTATCAAGTTGCCGTTCGATCGAGGTTGGACTCTCCGCCTTGGCGAAGGCACTTGACCCTTTAACTTAATTCGAGTGAGGTCGAGCTTTGTTGTGCTCTGATCCTTACGTTTGTTTGGGAGCATACCCGTCGACCATGGCGGACGGGTTGTATGTTGTGCGGCCGAGGGGAGTAAGGGTACGCTTGATACGTGTTTGGCGACGTCCAAAATTTTGAGGGCGCGCAGAACATCTCCTCAGCGTTCATAGGTCATTACAACCATTTCGAGGGCGAGATGCCGGTTGGCGACTGAAAAGCTGCTTCATGGAGCTTGTCATAATGACGCACGTTTCTGTAGAATCGAACCGGTGTGCGGTTGGTCATGTAGTTAATGGTGGCTATTGGGGTTCATGAAAGCCACTTGTGTTGCCTATAAATAAGGGCTGAAGCATTCATTTTTTATGTTCTCATTGTTTGTCTGAGAGAGATTCTGAAGAAGCTTTTCTTCCTGCTAATTCACCTTCATCTTTGTTCTTCGATTGACATAACTTCCGTCTTTGTCCCCCAAACTTTGTTTCTTTCTCGTTATCGAATCAACAATGGCAGGCAGTTCTTCCCAAAACGTTCTTCCGACGGATCTTCCGGTTAACTCTCCGGTGACTGAAGAGCCATCTCCAGCAATGGGCGGTGCAGAACTGGTGGAGACCGATGAAGCTCCATCGGTTGACGAGATAGTATCTCTGGCCGGAGGTCCGATGACCGATTTCACCGCCGATGGTGGGAGGATCAGGTGGATGAAGCCCCATTAATTGGGGAGATTGGGATGTCCCAACTACGGGGACAGGGGGTCATCCCCAGCTATGCTGACGTCGTTCTCGCTAGAAGCGAGGAGAGGGTCCACACCGGCCGTAGGGGATACTGCGTCTTTTACGCCTATCCCTTCAAGTTGGGGTTTAAGCTCCCGCTTCCAGTGCTAGTGGTTGATTTCTGTCGTTACTACGGGGTATGCCCGGGTCAGCTTGCTCCTTCTCTTTACAAATTATTAGCAATGCTTATCAAATATGCAGAACTGGCCGGTAGGGAGGTCACGCTGCAGCATGTGCTTAGCCTCTACGCTCCCCAGAGAGTTCATGGTACCATGATTCGAGCGTGCCCTCGCAGGACGAGGGGCCTGACTGTGAAGCTGGATGATGAGGTTGACTCTCGCCCTTTCGAGCACTTCTTCTACATCAGGACTGAACATTTAGTGGCGTGCTCTACTGGATTCCCAGAGGCTTGGAATCATGCACGTAAGTTCCTTAATCATTGAATTCCCTTTTTTGCCCCTCCTTACGTCTTGTGCTCATAAACGTTAACTCGTATCAATTTTGTAGCCGAAAAGTCGCCGCCGGCTCCGTTGGCTGGGATTCGTGAGTGGGTTGAGGCCGTGCTTCCCCATACGGTGGGGATACGCACATGGGCGTCTTTCTGGGAGAGGCATGGCCGT